ATTCGATGATTGTAAATATGCTTGGTATTTGTTCATCTAAGATATGAGCGATTTGTGCGATTGTGCCGAATCGTTTCTCGCATTTGATATCGCATCATTTGAATAAATACACACTTTTGATATTACTTTGCATCAGTAGTCGCCCGATCACGACACCATTTCTTCAGCTGAAACGCAATCGAAATGACGATCACGTTTGCTGCTGCTGCAGCACCACAATAACTCAACGATTCACCACATTATCCAACGCATGAATGAAGAATTCGAAAATTAGGCGACGAGCCACATGGTTTTTCGTAATGATGTCCCTAAGTCTTTGATAATTCGGTATTCGGAGTAGAAATTTTCGCTTAGAATCAACGTGATCACTGTGAACGATTAAGACTTGATCGATGGGTGATCACAGATAGTCCGCTTGAACGGGCTTCGACCGATTCGCGTTTTCGCCTATTCTTCAAACGTTGCTTTCTTGAAGAGAGGATATATTGCTGATGATTTGATTTCCATTTTCTGAAAGCACTTATTGCATTTATCAAATAAATTTCCACGCAGATCTTACAGGAGGATGTGCGAATCCAATTGCAACAACAATCTTTGCGCTGTACTACACGGCAAAGATGATATTCGTATGGAAGGACGAGAGGTGCCGAAACCGAAACCGAATCAATTACTCATCAAGATTCATACAGTTGGTATATGTGGCACGGATGTACACTATTGGAAGCATGCAAAAATCGGCGAATTCACCGTTACTAAGCCTATGGTACTCGGACATGAGTCCAGTGGCACTGTGGCGGCCGTCGGCTCTGACGTTAAAGGTTTCAGCATTGGTAAGTGTGTATCTTTCGTAGACATTCACTTTTAGCTGTGTATTTCAAGCAGTGCATTGCACTCCACATTTGCTATTGAACTAAAAGTGAGTACTGCCTAAGTAGGTTTTTGAAATGTGAGATTTGAATTTTTACTCACTTGTTTTAATTGGTTTTCGGCAAATACTCCTTCATTTCACATAATTGTTGTTGGAGGCAACGATCATGTATTTAGAGGGTATTTTTAACTCTTCTGTGGTGATGGCATCTGATTGAACATATTTTAACATTTGAACAGTTGCAATTCCGATCGATCATCGAAATTATTCGGTAATTGTTCGGAATCCAGGCTTAGCAGTTCTGACCGAAATTGCCGGGTTTTTCTGATCGACCGTCGGTCGGATGCGATCACCATTGTTTTGAGCTGAGAGCTATTCCGACCGATTGGTTCAGTAAGGTTATGATTGGACAAATAGAACCTTAATCGCCAAAACAATGGTCCTCATCAAGATGCGATCATTTCAGGTGATCGTGTGGCCTTAGAACCGGGTGTAGCGTGTAGAGTTTGCATGGCATGCAAAACTGGTAAGTACAATGTATGTGACGATGTGAGATTCTTTGCCAATCCACCTTATGACGGCTCTCTAGCGAGATATGTGGTCCATGATGCGGACTTCTGTTTTAGGTCGTTTTGTCGATTTTCAATGAATTTTTCAACGTTATCAACAAATATTCAAGCTTTTATACGACTTTATCTGGTGTGAATTTTGAATATGGACAGCTCTTAAGATTGCCCGATAATGTGACGATGGAAGAAGGCAGCATGGCTGAGCCACTCTCTGTAGGAGTTCATGCTTGTCGACGAGCCGAAGTTTCAATCGCTCAAAAAATCCTCATCCTTGGAGCAGGTATCATATTGATTCTCACATCTGATCTAATTATTTGATCTTCGACTCATTTTCTTTATCGATAAATCTTCCAGGCCCAATAGGTTTAGTGAACATGGTTTGCGCAAAAGCAATGGGTGCTTCACAAGTCATTATGACTGACATTTGCGATAGTCGGCTGGAACTGGCCAAAAAATTGGGCGCCGATAGGACGTTGAACGTGAACGGAATGAGTGCTTCAGCGGCATCTGAGGCCATAATTGTGAGCTTAGGCCAACGACCTGATGCCGTAATTGAATGTAGTGGAGTGTCGACGAGTGTTGAAACTGGCATTCAAGTATGTGCCCTAGAAATGCGTTTTATCATTCCACATTAAATTCCAATGTCTCTCAAAAGAAGTGGCTCTCTAAAACGCCAACTAGAGAAATAACTCTATGTTACTCTATGCCGCCGAAAATCTATTCTGGACGAAGTTATCGCTACAAATATCCATTATCGATACCGTCATCTGAGCGCAAATCACCTTATTTCATTTCATTGAATTATTTCACTGATGTCATTAAATCACATAGCATCATGACCAGTGCTATCTTGTTACATATTGTACAGAATTGATCTTAAAAAACAACAGAAGTATCCGTAAAACTTGCGTGATCCTTCATAAAAGTGCAGCAAATTATCTAAACCGAATTAAATTTTATGTGGTGAAACGAGGTGGTATACTGGTGTTGGTCGGTTTAGGCGGTCATCATGCTCAACTGTTCTACACTGAAGCGGCCATGAGGGAAATCGATATACGTGGTGCATTTCGATACGTTAATTGGTAAGTTAATGATTTGAACACATCTTAAGACAAAACAGTTTAGCGGAAACGAGAGATACTGCTATTGAAAGCACGAGCTGAGCGTAAGAAAAGTTGACTCCAGGCTTAAGCTGATACTTGAGAAGCTGATACCTGATACTTGCTGAGTTGACTGCTGATACCTAATACTTGATACTTAAGCTGAGACCTGCACTCAACCTGAGCTCAGCTATAATCTAGTCTTAGTCACAGGTCTAACATGAGTATGAGGAATCTCCAACTTCTCAAATTGCTATTATTGGAAACGCCACATTGATCGCTCCGCTATCAGAGCACAATGATAGAAGGCCGTTGAATTTATCCTTCCTTTTTGCATCAGAAAAAAAGACGTTCATTTCAGTTTTCCGACAGCAATTGAACTGATTTCGTCTGGTAAAGTTGACCTGAGTGGGTTCACTAGAGCTCACTATAAACTAGAAGAATCAGTCGAAGCATTCCAACGCTCCCTGAAGGGTGATGTCGTCAAAGTTTTCATTCATTGTGATGATGCTACAGAATGATCCATTTTATGCGCAAGTCATGGAACTTATGATTTCTTTAGACTTGCATACTTGTGTATTTATGCGTATTGCATTGTTTGTGTTGTGATGTTTTAAGCAATATGTTACGATAACAAATTAGAAACCATGCGCGTTCAGAACCAAAACTAATGAAAAGAATGTTCACAAAGGGAAAACTCTTTTGCTGTTATAATTGGAATCAAACATTTGGCGGATGTCAGTAATCTTTTGAATGAATCCAAAAACAATCAGCACGATACATCATTTCAGGACTGAATCAAGCAGTCGCATGCTAGTTCCGTTTGAAGATAGAGACATCTCAGACTAGTTAAATGGAATTTACTGAATGTAGCCTGAATTCTCTCTGGTCACCAATACATATAAGCTTCCAAGACACTGACAGTGAGAAAAAAAACGAGAAGTTCAAAAAAAATCTGTGAACAAAGGAAAAGTGAAGCAATTTTCGTGGGAATCCCACTGTAGGTCGTTCATGATGATTATGCGAGTGTGATAAACCTCAGAAAGTGAATAAACAATTAATCGAAACACTTGTTGCTTGTTGAACATTCGCCCATTAACAAAAATCCGTTCCCTACTCGTAGGTAAGGATGAGTCAAAAGGTTGCGCGATAACAAATGCACACGTGTAAGTTCTTACTGATCTCTTTTGCATCACATAAGATCACATTCGTTGATGTTTCGTTCGAAAACTACACAAATAGCTGGCAAAATAATGATTGAATAGTTTATTGTGGAATGTATTATAAATCAGGTAACGATTAAAGGATTTTTATCGAAACGGAACGTTTCTTATCTTCGTTATCCAATTTAGTTCGTTGTATCCAAACCCATTTCGGCTTTATCAGATTCAAAACGTCTGAAATCACGCTAAAATTATCATCTCTAAAATAGAATCACGAGGATATTTGAATAAACTTGTTTAAAAAGTGAACGAATGGCTACGAAAATCGCATGCTTGTCCATTCGTTTGAGAAATGAATTACGTAGTGTTTTATGAGCAAACACTGTCACCTCTACACAGCACAGCATAAACCGTTCACGCAGATAACAGGGAGTCCGTTAGAGTAAAGTTTACATTGATCCGAATTCGAACAATCTCTGGCAACCAATACACTACCGTAGGGACAATTTGCTTGTGTCTGGAAAGCGATTCACTGAACACAATGGTTGCTTTTTCAATGAAAAACTCCGAAATCATGTATTATTAGCGGGATTCCCTACTGCCGGGGCATTTTCCAGGACCGGATCGAGCACTTGCCCGTCCTCTACTCGTAAAAGATCACTCACGCAAATGTAGGACGGGCGATTTGCTAGATCATATATGAAACGAAATAGCAATCAAAAATGACCCCTCCAACAAGGCAACACTTTCCGTTGAGGCATTGAACCTCACGGCCACCTGAGTAAGGCACACATTCGGCCGAATTCGAACATCCCAACGCAACAGGCTTTCCGTTGTTGCCGCAGCTGAGCCTTGATGATGTCTACGATGAGACACATTAAATGAGCATTTTTCTTTGAGTCAAAACTCGATAAAACTCATATAAAATGATCATATTCCTTGGATCAAATCAAGCAATTGTACATTTGCATTGACTTGAACGGAATCACTGAAACGATGTGAAATCTAAAATCTTGTATTGGGCTGAAAAACTGGTCGAAGTAACTTAAACGAATTTGAACAATATGAGACTGCTATCACAGGACTAGTGTAAGGTAAGCACTAGTTCAATGTAATGCATCTACAACAGTTACTACAACATTGAGGGAGCCTAGATGCTTGGATGTATATTGAGGAAATTTTTGTTGTTCAGTGAATCGTTTAGCGAACCAAGAAAGATGTACGTGATTCAAAAATAATCTGTAACAGATTTTACGGAAATTTTGTGAATGAGCAACGTACAGTGCAGCATAAACCGTTGAGACAAACGACAGGACTGGCAGTGTATTGTGTGCACTGTGACGAGGAAGTGCATCCTTTCGCTACCAGTTGTCCACCGTTGGTACATTGTCCTGATGTCGAATTGGTTGTACAGCATAGGCCGGAAAGGCACTGAACCGGTTTGCTCGTGTAACCAGTACATTGTGCAGCATTAGAGCAGCCTCTTGCCACCAGTTGACCACCATTACTACAAGTCGATGAAGCTGTACAGCACAATCCGGACANTTACTACAAGTCGATGGTGTTGAAGCAGTACAGCATAAGCCGGACAGACACTCAACCGGTTGGCTTGTATAAGCGGTACATTGGGCAGAATTCGTACAACCTCTGGCCACTAGCGCGCCACCATTAGTACATTTTCCTGAGGATGAATCGGTGGTGCAGCACAGTCCGGAAAGACACTGGACCGGTTTGCTCGTGTAGGGAGTACATTGCGCAGCATTAGAGCATCCTTCAGCCACCAGTTGACCACCGTTACTACAGGTTGATGGTGTTTTAACGGTACAACATGATCCGGATAGACACTCAACCGGTTGACTCGTGTATGAAGTACACTGCGCAGCATTCGTACAACCTGTGGCCACTAGCGTGCCACCATTAGTACACTTTCCCGATGTTGAATTGGTAGTGCAACACAGTCCGGAAAGGCACTGAACCGGTTTGCTTGTATAGGCAGTACACTGAGCAGCATTAGAGCAACCTCTAGCCACCAGCTGACCCCCATTACTGCACGTTGAAGCCGATGATGTAGTACAACACAATCCAGAAAGACATTCGACCGGTTGGCTCGTATAAGCAGTACATTGGGCAGCATTAGAGCAACCCTTAGCTACCAACTGGCCACCGTTACTACAAGTTGATGGTGTTTTAACAGTACAACACAACCCGGAAAGGCACTCAACTGGTTGACTCGTATAAGCAGTACATTGGGCAGCATTAGAGCAACCTCTAGCTACCAACTGGCCACCATTACTGCACGTTGATGGTGTTGAAGCTGTACAGCATAATCCGGATAGACACTCAACCGGTTGACTCGTATAAGGAGTACATTGCGCAGCATTCGAACATCCTTCAGCCACCAGTTGACCACCATTACTGCACGTTGACGATGGACTTGTGACCGTACAACAGTATCCATTCAAGCAGGCCACCTTCAGTGATGTATATGGAACGCATTGTGTAGCAACCGTGCAACCCTCTGCTACTAATGCCCCGCCGTTGGGACATTGCGCTGAAATTGAAGCGATCGCTAAGAGCAGCACCGAGAAGCAGATGAGGAGTAGTTGAGGATTTGACATTGCCATACTGACATTACCATCACTATCATCAGCATGGTTTTGTTCATACGATTGTTTTATCAGCTGTTCAACTCTGAAAATCTCACCATATTTACCCAATTAATCACTTCAAATTTCCACTGCATGAAATCCTTTCAGAAATTTCTGCTAGCTTTGTGATGCAGTTTTTTTCGTGCAATGAGAATGTTGCATCAGCTGCAGACTCGGCATGATGATGGCTGTCTGTGTTCGAAGTTCTATGAAATCAATGGAATTTTGTGAATTGCACAAGCTTTTTATGTTTTACTGGCTGCGGCTGAAATTTCCATGTAATGTAAACGGTGCTATGGCATGTTCAAAGTACAGCATCGTTGCTGATAAAATGATTGAAATTATTTATTTGGTTCAGACGCAATTTTGATGATGTTTCATCGTGACTCAACATCAGTGTTGAATACGTTTCAAAAATTTGGTTATAGTGTCAGAAATCATTCAGCATTTTAATGAGTACAGAATTCATGTGAGATTTGGCATTGAAAAATGAAGACTGAAAAATTCTCCGAATACAAAACTGCAGCCGATGTTTCGAATGAGTTCCCTATTTGAGCATCGATTTTAGTCTATTAGATCAGCTGTTTGAGGATGATGATCAAGAAAATTGTGTATGTACGTATGAATGATATGATGATGTTCTAAAGTACAACAACAAAACAAATGGAAAACAGGAAATTAAATTTTCCCAAATAGGCATTCAAAAACCGCCAATGAAGTGGCCATATTCGACATTGGGACGGTATTAAGGGGACCAAAAAGCAAAATTGCTAAATCTAAATTTCCTCTGGTGCTTCGTCGATTGATTTTTTTGGTAAATTATTCCCA